GACACACATGTACCGGAAATGAGCCTATCAACACCCAAGTACCAGTAGTGAACCTATGTATCGGGAGTGTAAACCAGTTAACCCCCCAATGACACTCCATTATCGGGAAGACAAATAGTTGTGTTACATGCCGCGCTACGTGATACATTACATGAGTGGGAGTCACTCACGGCAACGGGTTATGCACATTGTGCACCACACAAGTCAACTCGTCCATGTGCTGGACCCTCGCAGCAACTGTGAGTAACTGTGGATGGTCCATGGAAGGGCGTGGCGACCCGGCAATCAGGTGGGAGGTATGACTCACCTGTAGGTGACTCAGATAGCCGTGACGTCTGTGCAGACATGAGCGAGATCAACAGTCGGCACGAGGTACGTGTTTAAACATGGCGAAAAGGAAACCATTGTTGTAACAGGAAATCCATCTCTAAAAACATGACTTGGCAGCACTTTGTAGATAGCTGTACAGCGCGGGTTCCACACAGGGTGGCAACATGGCGGCATTCATAACAACGTTGCTTGAGTTTCTTCCTTCTGTCTGTACTATAACACCATCCCTTCCTTCTGTCTATATAACACCATCTCTTCCTTCTGTATATATACCACCATCACTTCCTTCTGTCTATATAACACCATCACTTCCTTCTGTCTATATAACACACAGACCCCTTCCTTCTGTCTGTATAACAACACCCCTTCCTTCTGTCTGTATAACACCACCCCTTCCTTCTGTCTGTATAACACACACACACACACACACACACACCTTCCTTCTGTCTATATAACACACACACACCTTCAATTTGTCTATATAACACCACCCCTTCCTTATGTCTACATAACACACACACCCCTTTCTTATGTCTGTATAACACCAACATCCCGTTCCTTCTGTCTATATACCACCATCCCTTCCTTCTGTCTATATAAGACTACCATCCGCTTCTTTCTGTCTATATAAAACCATCCCTTCCTTCTGTCTATATACCACCATCACTTCCTTCTGTCTATATAACACTACCATCCGCTTCTTTCTGTCTATATAACACCATCCCTTCCTTCTGTCTATATACCACCATCACTTCCTTCTGTCTATAACACACACACACACCCCTTCCTTCTGTCTGTATAACAACACCCCTTCCTTCTGTCTGTATAACACCACCCCTTCCTTCTGTCTATACAACACACACATCCCTTCCTTATGTCTACATAACACACACACCCCTTTCTTATGTCTGCATAACACCAACATCCCGTTCCTTCTGTCTGTATAACACTACCATCCGCTTATTCTGCGCATTTAACACGCCACCCCTTCTTTCTGTCTATATAACACCGCCCCTTTCTCCTGTGTTCTGTGTCTGTAGAAACCATAGCATCTCCTTCTTCTTTCATCTATAAAACACTCCAGCACCCTTCATCCTAGCCCCCACATCACCCCCTCCTTGTGCCTGTGTAGAGACCCTAGAGGCAGGTGGGAGATGGGAGGTACTGCCCCTAATGACCATCAGTAAGACAAGTAGCTCCATCTCCACTCAGCCTGACCGGATCTTGTTGTCAGCGAACACCACACGGTGTGAAGGCCTCGGTCTGCCACAATCAAATAGGAATTAATTGGGACTTGCAGTGGTCCAGGATCGAGACAAGCGCCACTAATCTCATACAATGTCGCATCAACATTTTCTACTCAAACGGAATCTCTTGTCGGCGCAATAATTAAAATGTGCTCAACTGGAGACCTGGCTTCTCCGAGATGGAATTTTCAGGTTTCTGGTTTTACATCACTGGCTCATTTACTGGAACAAACTCATACTGTTCTAATAGTTCTAGGCACATATAAGAACATACGCATATTGGATGTATACATGCATGTATACTGTTCTCAGAGCATGTGTTAGAACAGACCTGTTTTGTCTCCATACGCTACATGTAACTAGTACACATGAGGCAGTCATGCATATGATTGTCAGCAGAGCTCTCGGATAGCAGCAACTGTACATGGGGAGTGACATCCACTACAAATACCTTTAACCATAGAGGCCTTGACGATCTCAACCTATATCCACAGTGGCCTTGACGATCTCTACCTATATCCACAGAGGCCTTGACGATCTCAACCTATATCCACAGAGGTCTTGACTACCTGTACCTATATCCACAGAGGTCTTGACTACCTGTACCTATATCCACAGAGGCCTTGACGATCTCAACCTATATCCACAGAGGTCTTGACTACCTGTACCTATATCCACAGAGGTCTTGACTACCTGTACCTATATCCACAGAGGCCTTGACGATCTCAACCTATATCCACAGAGGTCTTGACTACCTGTACCTATATCCACAGAGGCCTTGATTATCTGTACCTATATCCACAGAGGTCTTGACTATCTGTACCTATATCCACAGAGGTCTTGACTACAGATAGTCAAGGATATAGGTTGATATAGTCAAGGCCTCTGTGGATATAGGTTGGGATAGTCAAGGCCTCTGTGGATATAGGTACAGATAGTCAAGGCCTCTGTGGATATAGGTACAGATAGTAAAGACCTCTGTGGATATAGGTACAAGTAGTCAAGACCTCTGTGGATATAGGTACAGATAGTCAAGACCTCTGTGGATATAGGTACAGATAGTCAAGGCCTCTGTGGATATAGGTACAGATAGTCAAGGCCTCTGTGGATATAGGTACAGATAGTCAAGACCTCTGTGGATATAGGTACAGATAGTCAAGACCTCTGTGGATATAGGTACAGATAATCAAGACCTCTGTGGATATAGGTACAGATAATCAAGACCTCTGTGGATATAGGTACAGATAGTCAAGACCTCTGTGGATATAGGAACAGATAGTCAAGACCTCTGTGGATATAGGTACAGATAGTCAAGACCTCTGTGGATATAGGTACAGATAGTCAAGACCTCTGTGGATATAGGTACATATAGTCAAGGCATCTGTGGATATAGGTGGAGATAGTCAAAGCATCTGTGGATATAGGTGGAGATAGTCAAGACCTCTGTGGATATAGGTACAGATAGGCAAGACCTCTGTGAATATAGGTACAGATAGTAAAGGCATCTGTGGATATAGGTGGAGATAGTCAAGGCATCTGTGGATATAGGTGGAGATAGTCAAGACCTCTGTGGATATAGGTACAGATAATCAAGACCTCTGTGGATATAGGTACAGATAGTCACGACCTCTGTGGATATAGGTACAGATAGTCAATACCTCTGTGGATATAGGTACAGATAGTCAAGACCTCTGTGGATATAAGTACAGGTAGTCAAGGCCTCTGTGGATATAGGTACAAATAGTCAAGACCTCTGTGGATATATGTACAGATAGTCAAGACCTCTGTGGATATAGGTACATTTGTTTATAGAGGTCTATATGTCTATAGAGGCGTCGAATGCCGATACATATGTCTATAGAGATCTGAACTACCTGGACATATATCTATAGAGGTCTGAACTACCTGGACATATGTCTATAGAGGTCTGAACTACCTGGACATATGTCTATAGAGGTCTCCCGCACAGGTGAGATAATGGGATACCGTCAATCTGACCGTCAAGTGTAACAACGTACGGAGATAGTCCTCCAGTCCACAAATTAGACATTTAACCAAATGTTCCTACATGTGTTATTGACACATCGTTTCATAACGCAAGTCTACCTGACGTGTCTTCCGTCAGAGCTATATACTGAGGGAATAAAATAAGGGATCACATGAAAGCACAAGTGTTCCTATATTTTTGTTCCAGGTTTCTTCACAAGCTTTGTATCGGATAGCTTGTGAAGAAACCTGGGAAAAATAAAGGAACACTTGTGCTTTCATGTGATCCCTAATAGTTTTCCCTCAGTGTATTTAGATGTGTACATCACAGTGTGATCTTATTCCGTGAACCGCCACGGTGTTCCCATGTGTACAAACACACCGCGGTCATCTACAGACACATAGTATAGGTACATGTAAAGAAACATGTATGTAAGAACACGTTCATCGTACAGCAAATGGCGGTGTTCATATATCAACGGGCGTGAGTCACTGCATGCATCACACGCTCAGATAACGTTCGATAACGCCAAACACTCAGACAGTTCTTACTCACCATGAAAACACGATTACACCAGAAAAACGGGCAAGAAGCTATTTCATACTTCTTACTCCTTCATTAACACACATGTATTTATCAATCCCTAAACCGTCCCGGTCCTCTCCCCCCTGGAACCCTGTCATAATTTGGTGAATTGTTCTGTGGCCAACATTCATATGGTTAGAACAGTAAACCTACATAGCAGTTTCATGCTATAGACACGCAACGCCTGATGAGCTGAGCGAGTTGGCATTGTTGGTCTGTTATGTGTGATATACTTCTACTATTGTATGCATGCATGAGCTGCCAGAGCGTGAAGTCAAATAGTCATATATATTTCAATTTAAGGTCACACCTGTCACTAACATGAACATAAAAACATAATGCATTTTGAAAAATAGGTAATCGTAGATGGTGAATTTTTGTAAAATATCAAAGAGGGTACATAACGAATTATCAATCGTTACTCTAATCACATGCCACTTTCGATGAATTATACGGTCCATTTGGTTAACATTCGACCGCCATTTCTAAATCACTTTTTACATAGTTAAGTTTCTCAAAGACGAATTCTTTCCTATTGGTTCACTGCGTTGTAACAGACACCGTGGCTTCCTTGGTTGGGCTCTGGATAACTAGGCAAGCATATTCCAGACTTATTCTACATAACAGCGTGGAATATAATGCTAAATATACATAGGAGATGTTGATGTGGGAAGATGATCCGTACATTACAGCGGGATGCCTTAGATTGCTGCACATCATTATAGGAATTGTTTCCCCAAGAAGACCGGTATTAATTCTTGATTATAAATCAATATTCATCTCGGCGAAGGAAGCTTGTTAGCTCTCGCCAAGTGCTGTTGTGGGGAGTAATAATCGTATATGAGACTTACCGTCCAGATCTACAGCAAGCACTCCACAGTCGCACAGAAACACCAGCACAATCCCCAGCAGAAACTTGAAGCGTGGTCGACGCATGGCGGACGAGAAGAAGAAGGCAATATATTCTCTAAAATAACATAACACGATATGAATTCTCCTCAGTGATTATATCTATCCAAATACAGTCACAAACAGACACCAGATCTTCTTTAACAGCTTTGTGTGACAAAGATTTGCTCCATATCACGACTGATGAAAACGCAGACGACACAAGTTCCAAGCAGACGATACAAGCAACAGACGTCAATTTCAGTAGTACGGCATCCCGCCGCTAGGTGGCGATCTCATCGCTTCAGACTGGTGTCCAGGAGTTCCGATACTGAAGAAAATCGATCGATTCCGAACGTTGCCGACAGCCTAGCCAATAGTTGCTTCCACATCGGTAGGAATGACAGTCAAACTAACATTCCGCAACTCCATGCCTTCCACGTGCAGATTTTTTTATCAACTCTGGAATAGCTTTGTAGGGAACGCTTTGTTAGTATAGCTTCATATCCGATTTATTTACTTCTTGTGACGGAGCCGTGTAGGTATTGGGATCGATATGGTAAACTACTCTGTGTCAGCAGAAGGCATGGATATTGATAGCCTCACTGAGACTATTCACTTGAGATTCTATCAATGAAACCGGTCGCATCATTCTTATCACAGCGTCCACCTCCGGCAGATTCCTGGAAATAAGGAACAAAGGGCAATAGTCAAAGGTCTGTATGACGGAAACATCGATAATGCTTGCATGGTGTGGAGAATTCTTACCGACGATGAAACCGAATTGCAAGGACGCCAGCAGAGCACGCAAAAGGGCAACGAGACAGAGGTTCCCGTTAGTGGAACAGTAGCATAACATGCAAATATTACCATAAACATCATAATATACGAGCATCACTTTAGGACGATAACAAACCATGTTATCAAGGCATCAGCGGAGCATGGTTACGAAACCCAAATTGTTCCCGTTATCGGGAGAAAGGCAGAGTGCTTGAATGTGACTTAACGTGAGAATTTGTATGATCAGCATCTGAAAGAAACTCAGTTATCAGCGTATACATGCGGAAACTAACCAGTCTCTCGTGTTGGCGCATGATTAGAGCACACAAACATAGCCTAAACAGATCATGATAGCGGTGTAAGATTAGAGCACACGAACAGAGCCTAATAGATCCTGATATTGTTGTATGAGTAGAGCACACAAACAGAGCCTAATAGATCCTGATATTGTTGTATGAGTAGAGCACACGAACAGAGCCTAATAGATCCTGATATTGTTATATGAGTAGAGCACACAAACAGAACCTAATAGATCCTGATATTGTTGTATGAGTAGAGCACACGAACAGAGCCTAATTGATCCTGATATTGTTGTATGAGTAGAGCACACGAACAGAGCCTAATTGATCCTGATATTGTTGTATGAGTAGAGCACACAAACAGAGCCTAATAGATCCTGATATTGTTGTATGAGTAGAGCACACGAACAGAGCCTAATAGATCCTGATATTGTTGTATGAGTAGAGCACACAAACAGAGCCTAATAGATCCTGATATTGTTGTATGAGTAGAGCACACAAACAGAGCCTAATAGATCCTGATATTGTTGTATGAGTAGAGCACACGAACAGAGCCTAATAGATCCTGATATTGTTGTATGAGTAGAGCACACAAACAGCTCTAGGATTGACACACCTGAGCAGAGCAGAAAACATCGTAATCTTTCAGCCTTGGAAATAACTAAATGCTGAAGTTCGTAAAGATAGTTTGATAATACCTCCTCCTCCTCCACCCCCAAAAAAAAAAACATCACAAGAAATGGTGGAATTCTTTGTCACAAGAAATGGCGGAATTCTTTGTCAGGAGCCACTCCTGTTACTGCAGGGCTTGCAGGATGCCGCACCAAGTCATATGTATATATATGTATATATATATATATATCAGTGAAGCGAGTGCTCGTCAGGTACAGGACACATGAAGGAAGAGCACTAGCTTCACTGATATATATATAGTGCTCTTCCTTCATGTGTCCTTGGACATAGATTGCCTTGGTGAGGCATCCTGCAAGCCCTGCACGGACACCAGGGCAGTAACAGGAGTGACTCCCTGACAAAGAATTCCGCCATTTCTTGACAACAATACCAATTGTTTGAGCTCTCATCTTCGTTAATCAACTCGAATTGCTTCTTCTTGGGCTTCGCGTATTGCAGCGACGTGGAGGACAAGAACACTGACGACGTATGGTTCAGCAGGACGTCAGATACAGGGGCGTGATGTGAATACACCCTGGTCCCGTTATGTCATCGTCAGAACGTAGTTGATCTCATGACAAGACCGGATACCGTGACCTATTGCATCACTTCAGCGTTTCAAAAATGCCAATGTCTGCCCTGGCTTGTCCAACCAAATACGTGATACTAAACTTCCCTTCTATCCACGCCGCTTCTTACCCAAATGTTCCGAGACATTTACTCAAAAAAAGTTTAATTTCAGTTGAGACAATTCTTCCTTTGCTTTAAAGATTGGCCCCGTCTTATCGGGAAGAAAATCTGACATTTGTGTGGAATGTGCCTTCTGTATCAGCATCTGAAAGCTCCGTACACTGACAGTGTGGAACTGAGATGACCAAGCGTTGCTGGAGTTGCATGGGCTGTAGGGAGTTTCCATTAGTAATGCAGAACGGCTTGGCTATTGACGGACTGGTGTCACCATCACACGTTTCAACACAGAACTCCTGGCAGTGCCCATGATACCATGAAATTGCCAAGTAAATGACTACATGCTATGAATAACAACGCTATCAGAAACTCACTGATTTGATGTGACAATTTCATGAAGGGCAGGGCACATAAAGAAAACAGATATCGGGGTCTGACACTCTGGCTGTGAATACGTGCCTATTTACTTGTAGTTTTGTTGGTATGGATGTGTGGAGATGTGACAGGAGTTTATCTTTCACTGTCTAATCACGGCGGCCATGTTATTACAAGCGACCGTTGGCAACATCACACGAAGACACACATTTGTTTTGAAAGTCACCATTTTATTCTATTTTGATAATAGCCTGCTCCATTGTGTTCATGTTTTTGTAACCTAGGATTAAATAGTTCAACTTCAAATTAAACCCTTCATGTGTCCAACCATCAGAGCATGTTGAGTATTGATTTGCTTTGTAAAGTTACGTTTTGACATAGTTGCAACACTGCTTGCTTTTAATGGTCGTATTATGCAGACTTTCATGTAGGCAAATATGATGGTCCAACAAAAGAATTTTTAAATCGTTTAATTGAAGCAAGAACGAAAAGATTCCAGTCCGTAGATTCCTGTCCCTGTGTTTGCATCCCAGGAAGGTCGAGACCGCATCCGTCAACAACTATGATCAAGGGATCCACAATCTCTGAAGGACGCCATGCTGTGTTGGGAATTGAATTTAGTGACTAAAACAATGACATGAGCATTTTCCTACATCAGATTCTTATTATATTCATTTCCATGTCTGTCTATCTGTATGTCGGTCGGTCGGTAAGTAGGTAGGACCTAGGACATCGGGTTGTGTGTCAGTTTTTATCAGAAATGACGTGCGTTTCGTCAACCCCTTGACAGCGTATATCTTATTGTACAACTTTAGGTCTCCACATGAAGCAAATTCCAGTCAGTATGTTATCAAATCTGCCAGAATGATCCGACAAGACAGATTTCATTGGGTGTTAAAGACACAATTGGGATGAGAATTACATGAATGGACCGCTAACATCACTGATATCACCAGTGTCAACGTTAGTATGATGTGCCTTGCCAGTATTATTACCTATCTTTCTTTTCTTTTCCTTTTCCCTTTTTTTAAGAATAAATTAATAGATGCTAGTTTAACTATTTCAATGGATTTAGTATATTGGTGTAGGCACCCCACGGCCATCTGAAGAACCTTCACCAGATGTACCCGAGCCAGACACTTGGGCTATATCGGCAGTGTCCTGTTAGGTAGTTGCTTCTACAATGATCAAGAACTAAACAAAATAACATTAACCTTTTCAGATAAGTTCAATTATAACAGTAAAACAGTAGCTAAAAGGAAGCCGAAACAGTTCCCTTTGTATCTATAATAGGAGAATACGTTGCTCTCTATACGCGTTTCCACATGAACATATCAATTCATCTATTGCTGATTCAGCTTATCTGTCGTTTGTCCTAATTGCAGGACAATGTGTCTTACTGTAATACAGCATCGATTACTTTAACTTTAAAACAGCAAACATCCCCTTCCTGAGGAACAATATTCTATCAGTTGTGGTGTTTGGTGTCTACATTTCACAACCTTTGATTTACAATCGAGCAAGCTTTCAATGAACTTTTAAAAAATGTCATGGAATTCTTGTCCAGAATATGTTCGATCGATGTTTGAATATAACATGGCAATTCACTTCAAAACAGTGACTTTTGTAGAAGGCAGTGATGTGCTGGTTACAATATTTAAGACTGGGAGAAATCAGGAATGTTCTAGAGCAGCCGGAGTGCCCCAGTATGTTGCAGAATGTTCCCGAAGTATTTAGGCCGTATCAGATACACAAACACATGTAGATGTATATTACATCCTGACCAGCACTGTGTAAAGATCGCTTTGCACCCTGGAGCAATAGACTACACCCATTTTTTAAGCTTGACCACGGTTGCTGCAAGGTTAATATTATCATCACATTCTATGCTACAATCACTGTTATATATCACATTGTAGTGGTAATTATAATGCAACTTAATTTACACAACCACTTTTTTTTGCAATTCCGTTGAAGGTATTTGTTGATTGCTCAACATGCCCTTGTTGTTTGCTGGTCTAACACTGGGGATTCTTTTACATATTTCAGGTTAACGTATCATCAGATGTGTGAGTGAGTATGTTTTTTACGCCTCTTTTAACAATATTCCAGCAATATCACGGTGGGGGACACCCGAAAAGGGCTTCATACATTACACACATGTGATGAATCGAACCCGGGTCTTCAGCGTGACGAGCAAACGCTTTAACCACAAGGCTACCCCACCGCCCCTAGTTCAATCGATGAGTAGCATTAACAATAAAGTTTCCAAAGGTTTTATGGTAAACCTGTGTAGGACTGTACCGAATCTAACACACAGTGAGACTATGTCTTTGGAACACACAGTGAGACTATGTCTTTGGGACACACAGTGAGACTATGTCTTTGGGAACACACAGTGAGACTATGTCTTTGGGAACACACAGTGAGACTATGTCTTTGGGAACACACAGTGAGACTATGTCTTTGGGAACACACAGTGAGACTATGTCTTTGGGAACACACAGTGAGACTATGTCTTTGGGAACACACAGTGAGACTATGTCTTTGGGAACACACAGTGAGACTATGTCTTTGGGAACACACAGTGAGACTATGTCTTTGGGAACACACAGTGAGACTATGTCTTTGGGGAACACACAGTGAGACTATGTCTTTGGGAACACACAGTGAGACTATGTCTTTGGGAACACACAGTGAGACTATGTCTTTGGGAACACACAGTGAGACTATGTCTTTGGGAACACACAGTGAGACTATGTCTTTGGGAACACACAGTGAGACTATGTCTTTGGAACACACA